AGGTCCTGTCTCACTCACGTGCTGGATTTCAGGCTCTTACAGATAGAGATGGTCTTTAAATGCAATGTGCCTAGTGTCAGCCTTGGCTTCTCACTGCAAGTGCAATAGTTTCTTCCTGCAGCCTTAAAGAGGCACGACTCTTCTTCCTCACGTCTGGTGGTGTGTGGGCGTTTGTTTCTTTCATCCTTTAGGTTCTTCCCGAAATAGCTTTCGTAAATCATTTTACTTTTATGATAGGTTAAAAAGTAATCTCAGTCAGGACTTTGATAAGCAGCATTAACTGATCTCTCTTAAATATAGCGTCCATAATTACGTCTTTGTTTTGGTGATTATTATTATTATTTTACTATCTAAATCTTATAGCAACACGAGGCTGTGAGTAATGTTATTTTCATTCTTCATTCAGCAGTGGAAGGACATTACTGTTGTTACTGCTGCTACTGTTGTCTAATATTTCATAATAATTCAGAGATATCCTATTTTCAAAGGCTGGTAATGGCTTCTCTGCAGGGAACAGCTAAGTAGATTTTAACCTGTCATCTTGAAAATAGGTAATTTAAGGAGGAGGTGATCACAGCCTGCAAAAGCATGAGTGGCATGGGGAAGGTCAGTAGTCCTTGCCTGTTCATTCTGTTCTCTGATTCAAGAACTAAGGATCCAGGTCCAAAACAGAGAGAAAGAGGTGAAGTCACCATGGGTAGAAGATATGTTAAGTTTACACTGATGAGGGAAAGGCTGGGCAAGTACACGGAAGAGAAAATAATTGAAAGCTACTAGGTGCAGAGGTATCTAGCTCAGAAACTCACTTGAGCTGAAAACACTTGAAGGATGGAAGAGTATTATGGGCGAAGTATCGTATAGGATATGATATCAATAGGAGTTGGACTTGATGATCCTTGTGGGTCCCTTCCAACTCAGGATATTCTATGATTCTGTATATACTTACTCTACTCTTACTGCTACTTAAGCATCCCACGTGGCCAAAGTTGGAGTGGGCTGTTAGATATAGGGGATGACCCCTCGTGGCTGTTTTACCTAAAAGTGTTAATAACTGGTGTGCAGAGAGCCTTGAACACTTGACACAAAGAAATCCTGAAGCTTGCAAAAGTGCTTTGGGACTTTGCTGTTCAGAAGGAAAGTTGTCTTGTTCAGAAGAATTCTACCAATTCCTGCTTCTGATTAGGGTGGGGAAACTGCAGCAACAGGTTTTCTAGCAGTATTGTAGCTGAAAATGAAGTTGACAAATAATTCAAAAAGCATTGGACAACATTTTCTGAACCTGCTATTAAGGACTTGTTCAACTCAGTGTATTCAGAAGTAGAGGGAATGGGGATATTTGGGCTGGTTGTTCTGTTTTATAGCACATAGCTTGCTCAGGCAATCTCAGTTGTGGAGGGGGGAGTGGTACTACAGCATTATACTGTTGGATGCCTACAGTCAGCGTGAAACACACAGGGGTGCTAAGCACTCTGCAGAACAATTGGGACCATGGCTCCTTTCTAAAAGGATTCAAGGTCCAACTTCCCAGTACTGAAAGTGGATTGGTGCAAGCGGAACCACGGTGCCCACAAGGGAAATCCCCGGTAAAAGGGTTGGTGGCTCCTATGGGCAGGATCAAGCCTTTCTTTAGGTCTATGTGGAAGGGAATCCAAATGCAAAGGAGCAACAGGGATAAGACCCATTATTCTGGAGAATGAACCAAATTAATTATTCTTGTTATTGGAAGTGACTTGACTTACTAAACAAGAATGGTTGATGTAAATTTGTTCAGATGATAGTTTGGGGAGTTTGTTGGAAGTGATTGTGGTGCGTCGAACAGACCTGGGGAGCTTTGTGGGGTGCATTATGGGGTGACTGAAGGCTTGGGTTTCTGAGAGGTTTCCGACCAGAGGTTTTCTAGCAGCCACAAGATGAAGGGAAAGTTCTTTGCATGGATAAACTGGTCAGAAGCCAGGAAACAAGAAGCAGGAGAAAATGATCATGTTGAAAGAAGTGTTCACTAAATGCTCCGAAGAAATGTTTGCTAAGTGCTCAGAGGACAGAAAGTAAATCAAATGTTGGGCAGGAGTGGGGAAAGAGTAAAGACCCTTATCCAGAAGAAGGAGGAAAAATCAATGGATCAGCAGACACAGACTTGGAGCTGAGGCTCTCAGCAAGTACTGCTCCTGACTTGTTCAGTGAGTCATCTTTAATTGTGCTCCATCTGAGGGAACTTAGTCACAACCTTATTTGGTGAAAATAATATTTTTAGCATGGTTTCTTCAAAGCAACTGCGATATATGTATGTTTTTGAAGTGAGTTCTGGGCTATGACATGTCATACTTTTCAAAGAGAATGAATGTATATTTTGCACAGGAGGATTAATGATGTTTCAGCTACTGTATTATACATACTCCTAGAACAGGAACCACTGATAATTCATTCTGGTTCTATGCAGTTGCAATAAACTGGGCTTTAGTGATTTTTCTGATTGTAAAGTGAAGTGCCAGAGGCAGCGTTTGCTATCATTAATTATACTAAAGAATATATAGGCTGTCTTCTTTAAGTTTTTGCTTAAACTTCTTGTAATTTGTGCATAGTTTTCTTCTCTCTTTTTCCGAGTTCCGTCACGCTGCTTTTTATCTGGCACAACCATTTAAAGTTTCTCATCATATGTCACTAGGTCTAATGTTGTAGCTGCAATGTGCGTTGATGCAATTGTGCTATCTGCTCACACTACTGTGTTTGTCTTTATAAGCTTTTATTGAAAGTCTTCTTTTCAATACATTTATTTTTATGCATCTGTTAATTTTGAATATGGCAGGGTACTTTCATCACTTGGGCACTGAATGTGGGAAGGACGTAGACAACAATGTCCAGTAACTGGGAGTTGTGCTTGTTAATCCTTGCAAATACATGAGAGGTCATACCCTGGATGGCTGCTTATGTCCACTCCACAACTTGAGATGTGTTTTGGGTTACATTATAAAAAAAGAAAAAAGTTTTGGTTGTGTACACAGAATTTAGATGGAACTAAGAGGCCTCATTTAAAAGATGTATTTAAGCAAAGCATCGAAGTTAGTTAACAACAGTACCAATGCAATTGCTTTGGACTTAAGATTCTCGTGGCATTTAATTAATTTCTGGTTGTAGATAAGAGCAGCTCGGTAGGAGGGACATGACAGTGTTGCCCAGCTGTGCTGGTCCATAACCTGATTGCACTGTATGGCTTGTCAAGCGTGGTGAAATGCCTGACGTGGCACTTCAGCGCTGATTGTAGTTGTGGAAGCACAACTCCAGCACTGCTGTGTGTTGTGGGTAACAGAAACACTCGGCATCTCACAGGGTATAACTTCAAGGACCTTATTTTCTTTAGGCCTCACATCTTTTATTTAAGTTTACTCTGCTTAGGCCTGGTTCTGATTTTCTTTCTTTATCTGCTTCTGAAGTGATAGAGGAAAAAATAAATAAACCGCATGATGACCCCAAGCCCAGTTTGGGATCGCTGTAGTCTAGTGACATCGGCTGTTGTTTCTGAGGACCAAGCAGTTGTGAATGGCTTAATTTCCTGGCACCCCCTGTAATCACCAGCCGCTCCCCCCGCCTCAAAACGCTGTGTCGGCGGCCGGGCTCTGTCCTCTTCCCCTGGCAGGCAGGGCTGCCACTGTCCCGAGGACTGTCACGACAAAGCCCCCACGAGGAGCAGAGCGATCCCCGTGCCGGACACACCCGCACGAAGCCTCCTTTTCTCCGCGGGATGGCGCACACCGCCCCCGGCCGCCGCCCGGCCCAGCAGGGGGCTCTGTCCGTCCGTCCGTCCGTCCGTCCGTCCGTCCATCCGTCTGTCTCCCCCCTCTCGCCCTCCTCGCCCAGACCGTCGGTACCGCGGCCGGGGCCGGCCCCTCCGCACCGAACCTCCCGCCGTCGGGGCGGCGCGGGGGGGGCTCCGGGCGAACCGGGGGGGGCTCCCCCCGAGCCCCGACCTCTCCTCGCCGCCCGTGCGGGGCCGTCCCCGGGCATCCCCCCCGCAATGTCCCCGAGCCCCCCGTGGCCGCCACCGCCGGGGCTCCCCGCAGCCCCCCGGTACGGGCGGGGCGGGGCGGGCGGGGGGCGGGCGGGGGCGGTCCGCGGGGCGGGGCGGTGCCGGCGGCGTTAAGGGCCGTGCCGGGCCGTGCCGGGCCGGGCCGGGGTCGCTGCGGGTGCCGGCGGCGGTGTCGGTGCGGGCCATGGGGCGGTACTCGGGCAAGACGTGCCGCCTCATCTTCATGCTGGTGCTCACCGTCGGCTTCTTCGTGGCCGAGCTGGTGTCGGGCTACCTGGGCAACTCCATCGCGCTGGTGTCCGACTCGTTCAACATGCTGTCCGACCTCATCTCGCTCTGCGTCGGGCTCACCACCGGCCGCATCGCCCGCCGCAGCCGCCGCGGGCCCCGCGCCACCTACGGCTACAGCCGCGCCGAGGCGGTGGGCGCCCTGAGCAACGCCGTCTTCCTCACCGCCCTCTGCTTCACCATCTGCGTGGAGGCCCTGCTGCGCCTGGCCCGGCCCGAGCGCATCGACGACGCCGAGCTGGTGCTCATCGTCGGCGCCCTGGGCCTGGCCGTCAACCTGGTGGGGCTGCTGGTCTTCCAGGACTGGGGCGCCTGCTGCCGCCGCACCCCGGCTCCGCCGCCCGCTGTCGCCGCCGCCCCGACGGGGGGGGCGCCCGAGCCGCGGGACGCCGCCGACCGAGCAGGTGCCTTTCGGCTGCAGCCTCTCCGGCCCCGCTCCCCGTGCCCCCCGCTTCGCTCCCGGCCCGGCCCCGGTCCCCCTCTGCCCAGCGCCGGCTTCCCCCTGCCCGCCCCCGGTGCCTCCCCTCCCCGCCGGGCCCCCCCCTTCTATGCGCGGCCGGCCGTGGGGGTGCGGGGTGGCCTCGGGCTTGGCTTCTCGTAGTCTCTTGGAAAGGAGCTGGTCTTGAGAAGGTTGATGTTTTTTCTGTTTGTAGAACTTATACACAACACAGCGTTTCTTCTTTGAATGCAGGTGAATCCCCAAACGACCAAAAAAGCCCTGAAGAGGGGTCTGGGAAGAAAGTAGAGAAAAAGTCCGAAGCCTTGAACATCAGAGGTATGTATGGCATGGCAGCAGGAGGCTAATGTTGCATTAACTTTAAACACTTCTTACCTTCCGTCTAAATTTCCCCCCCAAAAATGTCAGTGTGAGATGGAGCTGAGGACCCCTCTGCGTGTCTGGGCACAGTTAGCAAAAAGGTTTTGGTCATGTGAGATAGCATGGGTAATGGCAAATCAATGTGGTGCTGGTTTGGCTCATTTGGGATCTGTAGAAGACTGCAGCTGGACTTCTTGGAAAGGAGCAAAGCTCCTTGCACTTAGCTCAAGCCACTAGAGGCCATACAGGAAGGTCATGCAGGTATCTGTGAGACTTTTCTTTGTCATTGCATGACTAGTTGGGCAGTTCTCAAGTTTTAAACGCTGTTAGGCAGAAAACAGAGCTTCTTTAAATCCCAGCAATGGTAATCACAAGTTTTGTAGTCAGCATGAGGAGAAAGGTGTTGAAACTGGTATCTCTGCATGTGTTTTTCCAAGTCCTTGAACTGTGAACCTCTTCCTGAGAGAGTCTGGGACAGAGTCAAGCCCCTTTTACGTTCTGCTTTGGCAGATCTCTGTTATCTGCAAAGAGAAACGTTATGACTACATCTAGGAATAAATTAACCAAGTCCTTGCATACAGGTATTCATATGCATACAGATTTATGTACCTATTCCTAACAGAAACGAAAGTAGTGTATTTAACAATGATTTTCCCTTCTAGGAAAGGGCTGTTGCAAAGACAAAAATAAAGTGATAGCCTCAGGCTTCTTGTGGTCACATAACAGCATATGAGAAGGTGTGGTGTTCCTCTAAAGTCATACAAGTTGGCATCACATGAATTCATCTGATGAGGTTGTCATGGCAGTCAGACACCTATTTTTTTGGCTTGTTTATCTGTTTATTCAAAACAGATAAAAAAAAAAATGATGCTTGCAGAGTTATGCAAATATGTGTGTAGGGGAGGACACCTTGCAAACTAAACCACGTGCTAGAGTGACAACAGTTGCCTGAATATTTAGGCACTAGTGTTGTTGGCTTTTATGGCATTAGAGTGCTTTGAGTATTGGCATAGCAAACTGCCATCTTCAGGGAAGGAGGAGAGAAGGATAAGAAACCAATGGGTGTATTTTAGGGAAGGCTGTATTTGCCTAACTACAGTGTTTAAGCATACTGATGCTGGCAAGTGTCAAAGATGTCTGAAGCATGAGGAGTTCTGTATCAGTTATTTTAAGATGTCTGGCTTCCTTGAATTTTAAAAAGATGATTTTTTCTTTAGGAGATACTTTAACTTTGTCTTTGCAAAATCTATTTTTGTTAGCCAGCATTACAGATGTGTCTTTAAAATTCAAAATTGGTTTTTGCTTTGCTGCTGGAAGTTAATTACATAGCTATACTCAGTTAACAGACACTGTTAACTGTTGTCTATACGCTGTCTAGACACTGCTGTCCATAGTCTTACCTTAATGACTATTAAATAAAAATTGCCTTCCAGTTCTGTTTTTATACCTATAGCTTTTGGGGGTCTACAGGGAAATGGGATCGCTTCTTTTCCCTCATGTAATGCATAACTGAGACATATATATTAACCGTATTAACTTTGCCTGTCAGTTAAATACACATTTTTCAAATTTTATATTCTCAATCCATAATTTTTCAAAATTCTTACATGTGTGCTGTTTTTTGCAATTCAAAATAAGCCTTCCTGGAACACTCTTATTCTTCTCAAGCCCCGCTCTTCAGTTAGTTACCTTAGAAATTGCATCCTGCCTATCCCTCTTGTTAGTGCAATAGCTGATGGCACATGCTGAATCCAGATTATTTATAAATGAAAGAGGAAACACTGCAACACTGTTACGGCAAGTGAAACCCTGTGGGAGTTTGCCAAATGGGGCAGAATACTCCTGACTCCAGCAGAAAGAGCTGGATTCATTGCGAGTTTATGCTTTCTTATCTTATCCAAGTGGTTCCAAGGAACCCCAATGGTTATTGCTTCCATTCCTCATGCTAAGGATCTTCATTCCTGCATGGAGCAGCAGCATGGGCATGGTTCTAGGTCTGAAGAGACCCAGAATCCATCATCTCAGGAGTCAGAACTCTTAGCTGTGCTGTTAATGAGTTTCAGAGGAAGCCATTCGCAGCTTCTCTGGCCTGGAGGAAGGGATTACATTGGAGCGGAGCTTTGGAAATTGCTTGTAATAGGGACGTTAAAAGGAGTTGGCCTGTTTTATTCTGTCACATCCTCTGAATAAAAAGTATTGTCAAAGGAATTAACCTCATATATATAGAGGTACTACAGATTAGACACGGGTTGGAATGAGATCTGTCTGAATAGTAAAGACAGAAAAAATTGGAGTGCTTTTTAGCAGTGGCAGGAAGAGGCAAGATTATGCAGTGAGAAAAACAAAGAAAAAAATGAAGTTTTTAGACTACTGTAACTGTAGCAAGAACACTGCTTTGGTCATTGCACTTGAAAGAGCAGTGAAGAAAGTTATTACAAGAGACTGTTTTCTGTCTTTATCTTGAGTGCAAAAATATATCTATAGACATAAGAAGTGGCACACAGCATTTCTCTGAATTTAGAATAGTACATGCACATTCTTTAAAAAAAATGAACCAAACAAAAACACCTGTGGCATCCATACACCTAACTGTTGAACTGGGTTCTTGTCTTTTTTGAGTCTGAGTGCTAGTAGTGTTGGTGGGACAAAGTTTAATATAAGTAATCAAGCTTGATCCAAAAAAATGGAGTTTGGGAGCAGTTGGAACTGTAAGAATAGTCATTCCTTACATTTCACTCGTGTAATTTTTTGGGATTTCAACAGAGTAGTAGAAACTGATTGAGGAGGAATAATTATTAGTCACTGGGGGTGGTCTCTGGCTGACTTAGCTTCCAGGGTAGAACTGATAGATTTAGTCATCAATTTTTAATTGTGAGTTGAGATTTCACATGCCAGGATCTCTTAATAATCTGTAGGCATTTAGGCAAAGACACTTTGTGTTGCCATGGCATTGGAGTTGGACTGCAGTTGCTAGTGTACCCTATGTGTTTAATAATGCATCCCACTTAAGCAGCTGTGGTTCGGAGTCAGTATTTCCCTTGACGTTTTGTTCTGAAAGCTGTTATTGAAAAATCTGGTAATGATTTGAGTGCTTGGAATATTGCATTTTTCATGTCAGGTAGAACAGACTTGAAAAATACAGCATTATAGCTGCTCAAAAAAAAAGTCTGAAAAAACTAATGGAATTTTTCATTTGTTTCAGGTGTTCTTTTGCATGTTATGGGAGATGCACTTGGGTCTGTGGTTGTGGTAGTTGCTGCTACAATTTTCCATGTACTTCCTCTGGGGCCTGATGCTCCTTGTAACTGGCAGTGCTACATTGATCCAAGCCTGACAATAATTATGGTGGTCATCATCTTGTCTTCTGCATTCCCACTCATCAAAGAGACCTCAATTATTTTGTTGCAGATGGTTCCCAAAGGTGTTAATATGCAACTACTGAGTAAGTCAAATTTGTTGTTGAAATGCTATTAATTTTAATGATAGATTTCAATGCATATGTTATTTCTGGAATGACATGTTTGGAGTATTTACTCATAATAGCCCTAAATTCTCAAGAACTGTGAGGAAATGGTCACGTGCCTGTGTCCTAGCAACATGACTCAAATCTCTTTGGATTAGTTAAAGCATGCATTTTGAGAATGTGGTACTCCAACAACATCAAAAATACCAGGTCTTGAGCTGTTAATGCTTTGTGTGGGGTGTTTGTGAAAGAAACAGCATTGAATTATAATATTTCCTAGCCCTGCAGTGGCTTCTTCTGAAGGCCTTCCAAAACAGCTTAGAAAATTCTTTTAAGACTGGCTAATTTTGTAGCTCTCTAGCACTGTTTGCACTGGTTAATTGTAGCATAGCACATATGTCTTTCTGGAGTTGTACCACGCTCAGGGCTAAACAAACCAGAATACGTGGACCTTGGCCAAGGAAGTGGTACTCTAACATTGCTTCTATAAGGTGTGGGTAAATGGCCGGTGGGAAGAGATGGTATGGGCTCAGAAAGAATGGAGGGGACTGCTTGCGTGGTCATGTTGCATAAGAACAAAAGTCAGCAGGTAGCAGATGTATGTTATTAAGTACAGCTCCTTGAAAGACAGTTTGGAGACAGCTCTTTTTGGATTAGGTTCTAAATGAGGCCTAGCCAGCACACCAAACCATCTAACATCTTTGTCTTATGTTTTCCAGCTGACAGACTAGCTCGTGTACCAGGGGTTATCAGCCTTCATGAGGTGCATGTGTGGGAGCTTGCAGGTGGCAAGAATATTGCTACTCTTCATATCAAGTGCCAAACCCCTACTGATTACCAGGACGCTGCTTATAAAATAAGAAAGATTTTCCACGAAGCAGGGATCCATTCTGTGACCATCCAACCTGAGTACATTGACTGCAAGACCTCCCACCTGCTGTGCAGCTCACCCTGCATCTCAAAAGCTTGTGACTCTCAGCTCTGCTGCAGTCAGCAGGAGGCACCGCTGGCTAAAAGTAATGGCTATACTGAGAAAAATGATAGCTGCCTTTCTGCACTGCATAAAGACAATGGTTCAAGTAAAAGTGATATTGAAATCCCTATTGAGTGTGCACTGACAGAGAATAGTGTTAAAGACGAGAAAAATTGTGAAGTGTCTGACAAGTCGCAGTTGAGCAGTACGCGATTTTAAACAATTTGGTCTACTCTGTAAAAATTTTTCATAGAACAAAGGTGTCCAGGCAGGAAAGCGGGTCATCAGTGGTTGTAGCTGAAGTTAATGTGGCAAAAAGATTTCTGTGCTTTAGCTGTAAACCAAAATACACCTAAAGAAGCTCATATCTGAAATAAGGGTTAATATTTCCATGAAAAGTGTGCATTCATCTAAACGTTTTTCAGATACAGCCTAACAGAGTTCCTTACCAAACCATGTGTGAATTCCTGTTGTTAGAGTGGATGAGGTGTATTGCTGTCCACCCTGGTGCTTGCAGTGTATGACCAGTGCTACTGGGAACGAAACTCTTGCCTTTCTGTCAAAGTGAGCTGTTTCCTGAGAGCCCTGTAGCAAGTTAATGATTGTACTGGGCTGAGGTACTGTATGTTTATAAAGGACTTATGTAGAGATGTTTTACTGATCCTTAAAACCCACTTTGCATAGACAGTTCATTTTTAGCAGTAACTGTTGTGCTTCTGAAGTGGGTGAATGAAAATAATGGTGTCTGATTAGAGGGGAAGCCCTTGGGAAGGGTTGGCTTACATTGTTTTTGTGACCCCTGTATGTGGGGACAGAGCAGAATCTGGTCTTGCTTCTCTGCTAGAACTGCTGGAGCCAACCTAATCACAGATGAAGGATGCTAAGGAATATGCTCTGTGTCATGAAACTAAGGAATTACTAGCATTGTTACTATTGATTTTTGGCAAGCAAAAATGCAAGTAGTCATCCAATTAACTTTTATCTTGTTCATTGTTGTGATTAAACAACTCAGTTCTTATCCCTTGCCTCTACCCCCCAACCTCCCAAGCAACAGAAGTTATAATAGCCACAGTCTTAATTCATTGTTGTGTGGAATGATTGCAGTATCTTTAACACTGAGCATCTGTCCTTATTCATGCTGAATAAATAAGCTAATGTGTCTATTACGAATAGTTAAAATTCTGCAATTCTATTATTAAGAGACAATTTAATATTAATTGAGAAATTCCATTTGAAGTTTTTTAAAACAGTGTTATAACTTACAGGGAGCTTTTGTATAATTTATATATATAGACAAATACTGGGAGATTTTCCTATTTTAGTTTCAATTATTTCTAGTTGATTTATTTAAGTCTACGCCCTCCCCTCTGCCCTGCTTCTCCTTCCCAAACCCAAAGGTGCATTTTGAAGTATTTAGTGAAGCATTTCCATTCTCCTTTTTGCTGCTTCTTTTTGAAGACATGCAAGGGTGATTTAAGGAAAACAAGATGACTTGCCCTGTCAGCAGTGTTGGATTTTGGTCTGGTCTGCTCCCCAGGTTTTTGGAAGAGGGGACCCACTACCTAATACTCACTGAGTGCAGTGCTTAGCCTCACTGTGGATCTGATCCAGAAGCTTTCAAATACATTTTTTTTCAAAAGCAGCTTTTCAGCTCCATATGGCCTGGACAGGCTATTTAGTTATCAGTTCACAGAGACACCTTTAAAAAAAACAGTGGTGTCTTTACCTCAGGGACTGCTTAGTGGAAAGGGCAAATTGATTTCCTGCTGGGCTGAGAAAATACCAGGGCCTGGTAGGACCACAACTGGCTCTAAAGCAGCCAGCTCCTTAATAAGGATGGTTATGTTAAAGTCAATGAACATTAAAACACACAGCAGGGTATTTTGCTGCTTGGAAAATGATATTTACTGGACCAGTGATTGCAGTCTAAATTGCACACCTCTAGGTTTGTACTTACCCCTTTTGAACCAATTCTTGGGTGAATTAATGTATTTTATAGCCTTTCATGGTAGGTTTGTATTATATAAATTAAACTATTTGTTAATAACATTAAAAACTTAATCCTCCAGTGTGTTTGGTTCTGTTAGCAGCAGCAGGATTTTGCTTTGCATTTGTTGCACAAATTAATGTAAATCAGGAAACATTTCAAGAACTGCTCTGTCCTTTTAAAGTGTGTGGCATGAAGTAAGCTCATGCTTCTGTTCTTTTTGTACTTATTTTCATCTACTGTGATGTTTAAATGGAGGAGTGTAGATCTAAATAACAAATGTATTTATAGGTTTGCTTGTTTTCTGAGAACTGGAGTAGAATTTTCCCCAAATAACAACAAAGTCTGTGCAGGAACTTACCTCCAAGATATCCTCTAAAACAAGCACCCTTTCATAATTATGCATTTGTGTCTTAAATCAGGTAATCTTTTTATATACACCTTTTACTTAATGGTTGAAAGATGGAGTGTCAGTATTGTTTTACCCTGGAATTAGAGAAAAAGAATATGTGTAATATTGGGGTATTTGATAAAATGGACTATCTTTTTCTCTATCCTTCCAGTGTTTGTAAAAACAGTGGTTATCTATTTTTTTAAGTTTTTAAAAGTGGTGTAACCTGAAAACACAATGAAGTAACATTCTTGAACTTTCATGTCTGGTTGAACGTACTGTAATTGTTGTCTGTGAATAAATAGGAAAATACCAGGGAATATAGAAATCTTCAGGTCTAGAAAACAGGCTAAGTTAAAAAATGCTTTATTAGCAAGCAAAACCAGCAGAGCTATGTTACTGATGAGATGAACCTTGCATTTTCTATGTAGGGGCTTTCAGGGTATCCAGATAGGGTTTTTGACTGAATATCCTGGCCTGTCATTGAGCCCTGCAATGGAATATTTTTGTCCTGTTTTAAATGTGCGACAACTAGCTCTGCTGGGTGGTCCCTTTCTACTTTCATAGAAGACATCATTCCAATAAGTGTCTATTTTGTGTTGGCTAATTTCCCTTCAGTTGTTAGCATCTCTTCCAATTCTCCTGAAGTATGCTTACCTCATTTTGAAATACAGTATGCTTCAGTATTTGCACTTACCTGTGGCACTTATTCTAAATTCAGTCTTGGAGCATATTGCATTGTCATAAATTCTCCTTTCTGGCCTCTTTAACGTAATTGCTTTTTTTCCCCTCCAATTCAGTAATGTAAAGTTTCTGACTGTTGCAAGTTGATTGTGCTACCCCGTCCCCTTCAAGTACTCCCTTCTGAGTTCACTGTTACTGCAGTCAGATTTTCTTGCTGTGATTTCCGCCCTCCTCCAAGTCCTTTAGCAAAGGAAATGTGCTTAAAACACAGGTGATTTTTCAAACAGCTGACTAGCTTATATATAGCAGGTTGTGGATCTGGGGGACACAAGTGACTTAATTGTATGGCAACAAAATGTGCTAGCCTTGGCAGATAGTTCTGGAACAAGAGTTAAATCTGGAATAAATTAACATGTATGCATACATGACATTGTATGCAAAAACGGTTTACTGGCCTTCATCAATTGTGGGCCTCGTTTAAAGTGAATTCAAACTTTTGTCACCTTGTCATATGTTCTTTAACCAAATGTGTAAATTCAGTTGTTAATTCGTTCTTCAGCAACAAAGTGCAGATCTTGCCTTTGCTCTTCTGTGTAAAAAAGAAAATATAACTTTGGTCTTTTTAAAGCAGTATTGTCTTTGTTTTGCCAAGTTTTGAGTTGATTTCCTTGTGTCCTTTGAGATACTGATTTTTAGTCCAGCCATTTTTTCCTTCCTCCTAATGTTCTTTATTTTTTTCTTTTTTTCTTCTTCAATAAAAGCAGATCAGTTTTGCTATCCTTCTGGTCATGGATATGTAACACAATTTACAAATACCTCTTTTATGTACTGGCTTTTTCTTTTCCACTCCATTTTTATTCAAGTCCCCCCACTGTCTGTTCTTGCTGTGTGATGTACTTTACCATTGCAAACCAATTGTTTACCTTGTTCAGTTCTTCCCACACTTTCCCCCCTTCTGTTCTCTATTATAATGCTTACCTTCCTGAATGCACCCTTTTATTCTGAGGCCAAGGTCTGTGGATGGGATTATTTAATGTCCTTTCTTCAGCATAGAAGTGTTGTCTACAGATTGGGACTCTATATATTTAAATTCCACCACACTCCCCCTGAACCACCTTTTTAAAGAAAGTTGGTTTCTTAACCTCAGAAGGTATAATGAAGTCAGGGGGGTCATTCCTTAACACCTTAAGGGAAAGTTTGGATTGCTTGTTAGAAAGCAGATAAAAGGGATGTTTCTGGAAAAGTAATCCAAATACTATGAAGATTTCTATAGGTTTTAGTATTTACTCTGCTGTACAGTGGAAGCACTTTGTGTTAAATACTTTATTTAAACGGTGACACCTTGATGTGAGGATGTCACTCTATGAAGTTGTTACATTTATGGAGTTATGTTGCTTAAAACTTACTTCAGCATTTCTGTTCACGATGTGATTTTAATAATGTGCCAAAATGTAATTTCCATGATTGCTGAATCAATGAATTGTAAATCTCACTGTGGTTCTATTAACTGTTAGTAGAAAACTGAATTTTATGTACATTTTTTTTTTTTTTAAATAAAGTTTGAATGTGTTGTAAATAAATTGCATTTTTAAATAAACACATTGTTTGTCTAGTAGCAATAAGGAGTGTCTTCCCTCTCCTTAGCATCAGTGTTGTCATCTGCTGCCTGGGGCCTACCTGACAATGTCTGATTCTTCAGTTGTCCAGGTAGCTACACAGTTGTTTTTTTTTTTTTTTTTATTTTATTTTAATAAGGGAAGGTTTGAAGGGAGTGGTAGTGCTTGGCAAGTTGTATAAGCTTAGTTAATGTCCCTCAGCCTGTAGCTGGTAGAGCACTAGTGGTTTGGAGGACACTAACTCAAATCTGTAAAATTAAAATCTATACATTCAAGGAAAAATCAATTAAACCCTCAACATTTGTTTTCTGTTGTTAACCTAACTCTTGTTGGTGGTTGATGAAAACCATTGCATCAACACTGCCTGAGTGATCCTAGGATTTCTCTTCAAAGAGATAAGGTTATGCTTATATTAATAAAGGCTGAAAAAAACCCCACCGTTTTCAGGCAAGAAGAGCAAGGGCTATGGTTGTGGAATGTGCAGTTTTAACCCTGGCATTTAATGGACAGTTTCCGTGCTGCACAGTCTGCATAAGGCCCTTGGAACTCAAGGTCTTGTCTACACAGAGGCCCTTATTCTCTATCTTTGTCCTCCTGGAGCAGAAGATATTTTCTGTGTTGTAGGGCTGCTGCTTTTCGATATTTTCCTGTCCTTCAGGAACCCACAGAAGAATGAAGATTTTGGGCTGGACATAATAGGTTACAATTTTAAAAAGTTATATGAAAATATTCCTAAAAATATCCACAATCTGTATGGTTTCATCCAAGTGATTGCTTATGCTTTCAGGTTTTAATGTATATTTACAATTACAGTTTGTTGGACTTTCACATGTGGTTTTAGACACATCCATGTCTAAGAATATTTTAAGAGACTGCTATGGGTTCCCCACAGCTGGGTACAAATTCTTTATGATCTAATGGAGTCCTGATCTGGTCCAAGGCCATGGTAGGAAGTGGGGAAATAATAGTGGTCACAAGGAGAAGATGAAGCGTCTCTTAAGATCTCTTTCAAACTTAGAACATAGTTAGGATGAAGTTGCTAATTCTTCTAGTTAGGGCAAGGTGAAGGTTCAATCAATCTGAGGACAGGAGATGTGCAGTGAAATGTTGAGAGGTGTGAATGAGGTGTCCAGTGGAGAAGAATCAGCCTATGTCTCTTCAGGGACACCGGCTTTGCCTTTTGATGCAAAGATGGAATTGATTGTTGAGTCCTAACTGCATTTTACCACCAGAGAGTTATTTTGCTATAAAATTTTAGGTGGAGACGCATGGTTGTAGTGCTCACCATGAACTCTCCAGTGAAGTCTAGAAGTTGCTAGAACAGCCCTGCTACTACGTGGCTGTCCTTGTCTCTGTTAAAGTGTGGTGAAACTTCAATGCCACGGAAGTGTGGTCCCTTGCGCTGATGGGATTTTTTTTCTTCTTCAGTGAGATAGCAAATGTCTGATGAAGGAAACACGTATCTTGATTTATAGACATAGCAGGCATTTGAATGACCATGAAGTATTATTGCCTGCTTCTATAAGAGTGAAGTATTATCAACTGCTTCTATAATAGTGAAGCATTATTGACTACTTCTATAATAGTACATTAAATATAGCAGCGTGGCGTAGCTTGCATATTGTCCACTTCAAAGGGGGTGGCTGCGTGATAATGGCCAATTACAAAAAGGTCCTTGACTCTGGACTGTGCCCTGGAACTGTTTGGGAGAGTGCTAGTTGGCACAGACCATGAAATGTTTGAACAGCTTACTAATGCAGATGGTCATGGTTCAGTGCCTGGAAACACCCCCAGGCACTGTTTAATTTACTAATATTGATGTGGCCCTCGGGCGCTGAGCCTCTGCTGTGTATTGCAAGGTAGCAGTAGCTGCAGAACCCAAAGGAGATGAAATAGGTGGTGGTTTCTTAGGACGTGAACAGTTCTGGTAGCCAGTGGGGCTGAAGGGCTTCCTCTCTCCACGCCTATGCTGTGCTGTGTCAGAGCAGGGCGGGCTGGGAGGGGAAAGGCTGCTGGGATCAGCAATGCACTCAGCAGATAACGCTATCACTGCAGCTGCTTGCAGGGCTCTGAAAACAAGAAGTGCAAGGCAAGTGGCACGTTCGATATGGCACTGCACTTTGCTTTACCTGCTTCCAGTCCCAGCACATTTTTTATATTTATTTAAACTGTCCACCCATTTTTAGAAGGCTCTGTATTTGGCTGGCCACACACTGCTGCCCACCTCATTGTGGAGAGATGGGAACAGAATGATGGCATGAGGCTTTGGAGGATGTATGGCAAAATGAAAGCATGAAGACCTTATACAAGTTATTGAAATGGCAGAAGAGGTCCACAGCCTAGTATACAGCAAGTTCAGTGGTTAAAGGATGGCAAAATTAAAGATAAAGAAAGCAAACTTTTTTTTTTCTTTTTTCTTTTCCAGTGTAAATATTAAAAATAAATCTTGTAAGAAGTATCTGGTGCGGATGAGATCCCTCAAGTTTTGAAACATAAAGCACACCAGGCTACTGCAAATCAGCAAACCAAATGATGTTGTGAAATCTTGCAGAAATTGTTTTAAATAGCAATTTCTCTTTAAAAATGACATGTGAAAAAGGGATGTCATCCTTTCTGTATAGGCCAGTTTCCTTCACTTGCCCATTTTAACAGAAAATGTTTTCTTATGGCATAGTCTGGCGTAAGAGGCCAGCAATGTACAGGATTTGCCCCATGACAAATTACACCATCCATCCCTGCAGCTCTTGTGCTTCAAACAGAGGTGCAGCATTTGCACCAAAATGATTTTGGACACAATACTAGCTGGGGATCACCCTTCTGCTAGTAAACATCTCTGGCATTATGTCATTTCTAACAGTGAAAATGGGCAGCCTTAAATTGTCTGGGTTGATAAGTCATGGTGCAAGAAGAACTGCAGGGTCGCTGAAATAACAGTGAGCCTGTGCAGAGTGCCTTGAGAAGCTGCTCCCCAGCCCTCTGCCTTCTCCATGTCAGAGCCCCACACACCCCATTCCCTGAGTATCAGCTCTTTTCAGGCACTGTTTCTGAGTCCGTCCAGAAGTGGGCAGTGGTGCATACATTGTCTTACTGATGATGGTTTTGACACAAAACGGAGAGACTGTCAAAGCGCGTTTTTTTTTTTTTTTTTTTTTTTTTTTAACAATTTCCCTTATTTTTTCTCTTAATTCCTATTGTCTTCAGATGTGAGCATTTTTTTGTTTGCAGTTTGCATCCCCAGTGCCCAAAATATTAAATCCAGTCTTAACCAACCAGCTCCTTACATTCACGGACCCAGAAACTCCACCTCCTGGTTGCAAAGCAGGGTACAGCTTCTCCAACAAACGGGTGATTTTGGGGAGCAAGGCTGGTGTCTTCCAGCAGACCCAAACACTGCTGTCCTCATTGTTCTTTCAGCTTTCTGAAATACATACTATTTCTGGCAGAAGACAAAGGCTTCCCCGAATTATGTTATATTTTCAACCCCCAACTAGCATTTATGTTATGTTTCCTTCTGAAAGACAAATACTGGCTCTCTTGAGCACTCTGTGTCCTGGCCAAAGAGCAATCGCGTGAGACAGCAGCCACAGGAGGCTGAGGGGAACAAAAAAGAGTCTTGCTCACAGAGCTCTTTCAGAGGGCTCATTCGCTCGGCCCGGGAGCTCGGCAGCTTGCCTGTGCTGTCTGTGAAGCCAGCAGGGCTGAGGGTAGCCTTCTTGGCATGGGACACACACACACAGCAGAAAGTTGCGGCAAAGGTGGCCTGGGGATGGTGAGCTGTGAGAGGAGTGGAGCGTGTCTCTCGCAGGATGGAGGTTGTTTCCACAGTAAGTGCCAGCAGCAGTCTGAAAGGGAGTCAGCAGGGAGGGTCTGATGGAGAAACCTCATTATTTTATGGCACGCACTTGTACACATGCATATATTTCTGCTTACACACACACACATATACCACCATACATGTGAGCGTATCCATCACCATTCAACAAATAAGAGTTTTTACTTGAGTCCCAGTGGGATACAGATACAGCTTGCTGGGAATATCCCTGATGCCTTCTATCTGTTACATCCCTCTATCATTTTGAAAGAGGACCAATTGATTCATGAGGTTCACACTAATTTTCACTGCTCTGGTTGATCTGGGTGGAGAGGAGCTAAAAATTGTCTTGAGATGTTAGCTGGACATGCCTGGGGAAAAAGAAAAAGATTGTGGCTGGCCAAGTGCTGGCAATTGTCAGTCCTCCAAGAGAAGTTCTCTTGCTACTTGGTCCAGTGGGTAGTCACTCCAGCTGCACTTTTCTTTTGGCTGTTGACAACTCCCATAAGCCAACATGTTGTTATCACCCTTCCTCAAGCCTGCTGCTCCCTGCTCCACCCTGACTCTATCTGAGTGCTCCCAGCTCTGGCCCACCTGATCCTTTGATTATTTTCCTTCCCCTTGCTCTCCTCAGATTTCTTTCCCCTTGTAACCCAGCACCTCCTTAATCTCCTTTATCCCTTGCCCATCTGTCCAGGGCTGCCCATCTCTCTTGTGCTGGCACTGCAGCAGCTGTGCCTGTTCTGCTTACCACCCAGCACTTGCTCTCTGTCTGCTTTGAGTTGGAAAAATTGAAAAGGGAGATGCACAGCTAAGTCTAGGGCTTAAACGAGCAATCAGCTCAAGCATGAACTTGCTCTTGACACATCTGTGTTTCAGTTTTATATCTAGAGCTGGAGGTTGGACATTAAAAGCTTGAGCCCAGTTACCACCACCAAGGAGAAGTGTGTTTTAGTAATAATAATAACAACAAGAAATGAAAAGTCAATGTTGACTGGTTGCAAGCCATTTGGAGAAGGTGATCAATACAGACAGTCTGCAATAATGCTTGTTAAGAAAATACCTGTGAAACCTCAAAAATGGGAGTCATGAAAATTCAGGAGTACAGGAAGAACTTGGCCCTCAGCTGGGGCTGCAAGGAAGCTGACCTACACACAGACAGTTCCTCTG